CAACACGCTAATGACATTTTCAAATAAAAACTTTCCGTTTTCATTACATATCCTAATTATAATGTGGGTCTCTGTGCTTCTCTATGCAATGGCGTCTCAAAAACATCACAGCACCCTGCTTCAGTGCTCCTATGAAGGGCCCTCAGCCGTAAGCAGTGGGAGGGCTTTTGGGAGGAGTTATGCAAATATTAAAATGCCTTGATGGTTGGGTGTCAGTCTGGAGGAGTGGGTGTTCCTAGGCAGGCTGTATTTGTATGCTGACCCCCCTAGGTAACACCCACATACGATGCTGAACCTCAGTCCTTATGCAGTCTGTGGGTGGGCTCTTGGGAGGACTTACAATAATGTCAAAATGAGGGGAGACTGGGGAAACGCTTCCTCCTGCCTGCTGCAGACTAAGAACTGGGGGAGGGGAGACTGGGGAAACGCTTCCTCCTGCCTGCAGCAGACTGATCACTGGGGGAGGGTAGGCTGAGGAAATGCTTCCTCCTGCCTGCAGCAGACTAAGAACTGGGGGAGGGGAGACTGGGGAAACGCTTCCTCCTGCCTGCAGCAGACTGATCACTGGGGGAGGGGAGACCGAGGAAATGCTTCCTCCTGCCTACAGCAGACTGATCACTGGGGGAGGGGAGACTGAGGAAACGCTTCCTCCTGCCTGCAGCAGACTGATCACTGGGTGAGGTGAGACTGAGAAAATACTTCCTCCTGCCTGCAGTGGACTAATGACATCATCCCATCCCAGGCAAAGTCACTGACTGTAACTTAATGAGGACTCTTTAATACCAGATGGAGCTTTTTCTTGACCTTATTGCTGTGTAGGTGTCACCGGGACAGGAAGTTGGGAGAAATCTCCAGGAGAGACATGGACAACATAACACTAAAACCTCAGTTGGGGGCGAACCAATCAGTTTTAAGAAATTAGTTGTTTTTAGGGAGCCGGTTCCGGTTGTTCTCCTGAATCTCGGGGAGAAGTTCTGGAAGGTGACGGACGGCGGAGACAAGTCTGGCGAGGAGACATAACTGAGTGCGGCTGTCAGGTGGAGGAACCTTCCCGGAGGACCATTAAACACTGTGATGAAGATCAGAAGATCAGTTCCCTGCGCTCGCCGCTCCTGCGTCAGACGGATCATTGTGGCCCCGGAACAAAATCATCCGACATTCCGCAGACGGAGGAGGACCGGCATTACAGGAGGACAGATGGGTCGTCGGGTTTCAGACGTCGTAATCTCCGACACCTTTTGGTTCGGGTTTAGAAAAGACATTTTTGGGAAATTGCAGCCGATGAATTATTTTCGATCTTCTCTAATTTGTAAAATAATTAATTATTAAATTCTATAACTTTTAGGCCTCATTCACATTGTAATCATCCCGCATGTACAGCTCCGGGCTGCGTATAGGGCCGCATCGGGCAGCTCTCGGCAAGGACACGCGCTGCGCGTGATTAGTACGCAGCCCCCGTCCTTCTCTATGGGAGTACGCGGCCGTACGCCGCCCTACGCTCACCTCAAGTGCAGGTCCGTGCGGGTGCGGGTTTCCTCGCTCGGAGGCAGACGGGATCCTTCCTGTACGAGTGCGGACACCCGCACGGACGTGCACGGCGGGTGAGCGTAGGGGGGTGTACGGCTGCGTACTCCCATAGAGAAGGACAGGGGCTGCGTACTAATCACACGCAGCACCTGTCCTTCCCGGACGCTGCCCTATACGGCCCTGCACGCGGCACGGAGCTGTACGTGCCGGCCGATTCCAGTGAGAATAAGGCCTAAAAGTACAAAATTGAAAAAATAAACACTCTGCGTGCGCTGCCTTCCCCCGCCCGGGTCCAAGTGGGAATAATGAGTCCGATAACTCTCTGAAAGGTGCTACTTGTACAAAACCAGAGAGAACGTCCATGTGTCTCTCCAAGGTGTCCAGGTCACAATTTGTGTATCACAAAGATGTTAGAATCGCAGTAATACCTGTGGATGGGGGGAGGGTAACATTCTTGATATAAGCAGTCTCAATGCCCGACATGCTAAAGGGCCACACATTGTATTCGGTTAATGTAATGCTAATAAGAAACAGCTGTCTGAGACTGAAGACATGCAGCAAGAGATGGTCAAGGGCTATGGGCATTCTACAGGAGATGGTCAAGGACTATGGGCATGCTACAGGAGACGGTTAAAGACTACGGGCATTCTACAGGAGATAGTCAAGGACTACGGGCATTCTACAGGAGATAGTCAAGGACTACGGGCATTCTACAGGAGATGGTCAAGGACTACGGGCATTCTACAGGAGATGGTCAAGGACTACGGGCATTCTACAGGAGATGGTCAAGGACTACGGGCATTCTACAGGAGATGGTCAAGGACTACGGGCATTCTACAGGAGATGGTCAAGGACTACGGGCATTCTACAGGAGATGGTCAAGGACTACGGGCATTCTACAGGAGATGGTCAAGGACTACGGGCATTCTACAGGAGATGGTCAAGGACTACGGGCATTCTACAGGAGATGGTCAAGGACTACGGGCATTCTACAGGAGAGGCCGGAGTTGGGGACATCCACATTGGTAAAGAAGGAGGAGTTGGGGACATCCACATTGGTAAAGAAGGAGGAGTTGGGGATATCCACATTGGTAAAGAAGGAGGAGTTGGGGACATCCACATTGGTAAAGAAGGAGGAGTTATTGACATCCACATTGCTATAGAAGGTGGAGCTGGGGGCACCCACACTGGAAAAGTAGGTGGAGTTGGGGACATCTACATTGATAAAGTAGGCGGAGTTGGGGACATCTTCATTGATAAAGTAGGCGGAGTTGGGGACATCCACATCTCCTTTTGCCTCTTTACATCTACTTCCTGACTCTCTAACAATGGCATTTCTCTGGGTGTGTTTTCTGATGGTGACAATGCTTCGGGCTGAGATGATGTCATCAGTCTGCTGCAGGCAGGAGGAAGCATTTCCTTAGTCTCCCCTCCCCCAGTGATCAGACTGCAACCTTGTCACTTTGTAGCAAGTCACAAGGTGAGAGGTTGCAGCAGGGGGCCGATCTGTGTTAGGCATCTGTGAACTCGGCTCCATAGGATTTGCATGGCCGTGTCACATCTGAGCCGGCATCTCAGTGCAGGAACTAGACGGTGATCCTGGACAGTGCCTGAATAAAGATGATGCCGTCCTTCTGGAGAGATCGAGGTGAGTCCTGTGATCTCTGGGAGTGGTAACAAATACCTGGAAATGCTACAATGACACAGGTTTGTACTAAACATAACAAATATATCTCATGACAGTTCCTCTATAAGAAGGGTGACGTATTAAAATGGTGCTGCCCCTTTAAGTCCCTGCGCCCAGCTCTCCCAGTACAGATAACGGGTGCCGAGCTGGCGCCGGGACGGCGGGACTCATCGCTCGTTATGGCGTCTAATTTCTGTTGTATCTTGGTCAGGTGACGGCACCGCGCGCTCTAACCAGGTTGTCTTTTCTCCTGCAGGGCTACTTCCTCCTGTTTGAGTCCATGCTGGATTCCGTTATCTATGCCAAAGACAAGTACCTGGCGCCCGGCGGAGCAGGTTCGTATGGAAACTTCCACCGTAGAGCAGAACGTTGCGGGGACTGTGCGAACCCTCGTGTGCCGCTGGCGTTCCGCATGGCTGTGGGGAGGGGGGTCGCGCTGTACAGAAGAACGATGGCGCCATTAGGACTCGACCGCCGGGCTGGCGTTCTTCTAGAGCATTAGTAGTCCGGAGGAAGTAAACGGCTTGTGTAGGAGCGAGCCCTCCGGCTCCCGACATCGAAGACTTCCACTGCCGCACAGCCCCCCCCACAGTCACTTTTCAGGTTATATATTTTATATACAATGTAACGAATGTTCCCGGAGTTCTTATCCTGTAACATTGTCACTGAAGAGAATCCCTCGGCAATCGCCGGCGGCGACGGAGGCAGCGTTCTGTACGGCGCGCAGAGCCCGGCCGCCTTTCCCATCAGATCTTGCCGGCTGTGTTTCATTTAATGCTGACACGTCTCAATGCGGTCCTCTCCCGGCTCCGGCGTGCGCTGTACCGTGTCGCACTGCATTCCTTTAATGACTTTCATCGCACGCGTTCATCACTGCGGCGCCATTGTGCCGTAATGGGCTTCCAGGCTGCCGCCGAACAAAAGGCGACAACGGCCGCCCGCGATTATGCGAGGAATTCAATTAAACTCTCCCGACGCCACGAGCTCGTAATTGTCCCGCGTGTGGGGAACACGATCCCGTCTCCGGGGGCCACGCGTGCCGCCGCGGCTGCTGCTCTGGGATTTTGGAGACGCGTCGCGAGATTTATGACCCAGTGAGCGGTTTTGGGAGGGTTTTTGTCAGAAGGACAAGTTTTTCGAGTGTTTCCTGTTTTCATTGTAACACATTTCTCCCAAATTTGTATCCAGCGATTAGATTTTGGACGCAGAATGTTGCGGTTTGTGTCCAGATTTAGAGAAAGCATTTCCTTGGTCTCCCCTCCCCCCAGTGATCAGTCTGCTGCAGGCAGGAGGAAGCATTTCCTCAGTCTCCCCTCCCCCAGTGATCAGTCTGCAACATTGTAACAAGTCACAAGGCGACAGGCTGTAACGGGGGCTGATCTGTGTCAAGCATTTGTTAACACAGCTGTAAGGGACACCGGGATTTACATGATTGTGTCATCTATGATCCATCTCAGTCCAGGAAGTAGATGGTGACCCTGGATGATGCCTGAGCAAAGATGGCGCCATCCTTCGGGAGAGAAAAGCAGATGAAGACATTGTGTCGGGTCATGTGACCTGGCAGGGTTACATTGCAGGTATAATATGTCTGGTGACAGGTCCACTTTAAGCAGATCTGCGGATTAGTGGGTCCCCGCCCCCGATGTTTATATCTCGGTGATGGAGAATTCCGGGCTCTGTCTTTTGATGCGGTCGCTCTGCTCGGGATTTGTATTCCGCGCGGCGTTTCCGCCGTCGTGTCCTTTTGGCCTCCGCGCGCCGTGAGATTTGTAACGCATTCCGCGGGATTGAAGGGTCCTCGCCGTGGCCCCTCCTCCTCCTCGGCCGCCATTGTTACCAGTGACAAATGATGGCGGGGCGCTGAATCGAGAAGGACGCAGATGTCAGAGCCGTGAATTCCTCCGGATGGAGCGCTGGCTCCGCTTCCGTCCAATCAGCATTTTGTTAATTTTACCTGCGAGGGAAAATAATTATTCATCTTCCCTTCCCCCGCTGCTCGGGGAGGACGGCGTCAGGCAGCCGGCGCTGCAAATCGGCGAGCACAGCGATCAAAATGTCATCAAAATGTTTAATCTGCTTATATTTCGCCTTCCCTTCCGGTGATTTCGGCTGTGATTCCCGGTAACTCTCTCCGTAGAGGCGGAGTTTCCCTTTAAAGGGAAGATTTCGCCGGCGGGGGTGGAGGGCGGCTCGTGCGTTGTGTCGGTCACACGCGGCGGCGATATTTGTATTTTCTGCTCCATAAAGATCCTTTTATTGCCGCAATGGAATCCGCTGATTGTTTCTGAGATGAATCCTCGTAAAACGTTTAGGAAGGAGACGTGGAAAAACCAAAATGTGACATTTTCTGGCTACTAAATATTCCGCCGCGGTCACCTGTTACTGGGATTATAACAAAGTGGAAGCAACTGGGAACAACAGCAACTCAGCCAGGAAGTGGTCGGCCACGTCACATGACAGAGCGTCCTGGTGGCTCTATGCGATCCCGAGCGGCATGCGGGGAAGTTGGCCTTCTGGGATGACGTCTACGGGTTCAACATGTCGTGTATGAAAAAAGCGGTGTTACCGGAGGCCGTGGTGGAGGTGGTGAAGCCGGACGCCGTGGTTTCCCGACCATTTATCATAAAGGTAACAAAGGAGAATTTTGCTTTATTCGATGAGCGCCCCGGTCCGTCTTCAGTCTCTGCTGTTAGAGTCCACAAGGCTACAGAATAGGAAAGTCCATCATACCATATAATGCTTCCTGTATCTGAGTCAGCTGATTCATAATATATTTGGTGTCATGTTGGGTGCCAAAAGCCAAAACATAGGGCTGAGTAGGGAATGGTTAGAACGGCTGTCTGTTATTTATTACTTCCTGCATCCCTGCCATGGAGACTCGCACTCTCGGGTTGTATCACTTAATATTGTACAAAACATGACGGATTCGGCAGTTCCTACTTTATCCACAACAATAAAAAGAAGCGCCTTAGCTGTAATCTGTAGCGGTCAGCAAAGCTAAGAATGATTCAAAGTGAACCGTACTCCCATTTAAACTTTTAAAAGCAAAGGCCCGCTGTCCCCCCTGCACACCCCCCTATGGACCTGTAATAACTTTATTACGTAAGATAACAAAGCTACGCATAGATCATTTTTGAGGAGGATTTTAGACAGACGAGGCTTTTTTGGGTGATATTGTCTTGAAAAAAAAAAAACATTCCCTAATTTGATCAGTGTTTAAACAATAATTTGTATTTCTGGATATAAAATAAGATACATTTTATAAAAAATTTGTCGAGTTTAAAATGACTCTAAAACTGTTGTTCTTGTACAAAACATTGCAATGTTATTTACAAATGAAATAAAGGTTGAAAAATAAAATAATTAACGAACCAGATAAATAAAATAGGAAAAAAAAGGTTTAAATATCAATGGTTAATAAAATAAAATATATATTTTTAGGAATAGTTATGGGGAGAAGTGTTAGAAGAAATTCATTAGGGATGTTTAATGTATACCAAGCGTTAATAATGGGTTAAATAGAAACACATTTTTTATTTAAAAAATGTTTTTTTTCATTTGTCAAGTTAGGTTATTAGGCTCATTTAACTGACATCTGTAAATTTAAATTCATTCCTTTGATCTACTGAACAAATGCAAAATTCTCACATCTGATCAATGTTTATAAACAATGTTACTTTGTATCTCTCTATCTTTACTTCCGATTCAAGCTTTTTTTGGGCATATGTAGCACACACAAGGTCCACAAATTCTTTGGCGGTGTTGGTTGGCAAAGCTAACCTGCAAGGCAGAATTATTTAAAGCAAACCTGTGCTTTTCACAGTAAATGCCTGTTTATGATCAGACCAACAGAGGATGCTCAAATACCAGAAAGTAGTACCCACGCTTCTACTTCCAAAAGAATGTTGTTAATAAAACACCAAACACACAAACTCCTACCTCCGATGTGTTTCACTGCCAAAGAAGAAGCTGAATTGTAGAGAGGATGCTTGTTAAACCTTTATAAGCCCATAAGCCTCACCTGTGCCCCTCTCTGATTCAGTTTCACCTTATTACTGGCCCTGGTTACCGGAAGGTTATCTGAAGGCTTACTGTCTTGGCCCCACAGTTTATACAGGTGTGGTGAATAAATTAGACTGTACGTTCCTTCAGGGCAAGGAATGTGGTGTATACATGGAGGTGAACGGTAAAGGGTTACAGTATATGTAGGTGCCATATTAACATGCTAAATGTGAAAAAACAAAGCACCATTTTAAACCCTGAAACAGTTGAATGCACCATTTGCCCTCTCGGGTCGGGTCACAGTATCACAAACCGTTAAATGATCAGAATTTTTAAAGCAAAAAAATTACTTATTGACTTTATTTTTCAGGCGCTCATGCCGAACGTGTTCATCCTCCGTTCAATAATGGCGGAGCAATTAACATTAAAAAGTGATTTTCTTTCATCGAAGTCTGTCATTTATGAGGCACGAAGCTTTGACACACTGTAATTATTTTTTTAGGTTCATTTATTACTATGAATAAGTATTTCCTGGCCGAGTAATACGATACTGTAATTAAGTGAAGGGACAATATTGTGGACAAGGTTCCACATCTCTACCTATAATCCCAACCAGGTATTATATCCATACGGGACCTTAAAGGTGTTGTAATGTCCCAGCATATCCTCTTCTGTTATAACATCAGGATTGTAATAGGAATACATAGTAGAGTTGTCTTGCATAATGTAATTAAAGGAGAACTATGGGGGTCAGGGCTTTTCCCCATAGTTCACCTTAGGGTAACGGGAGGACACAAACTAGCGTCCTCCCGTCACCCAAAGCTCATTATATCAGCTTGCGGTATACTGAGACGCCACAGCTGAAACGGATCCCGACAATTGTGTCGAGATCCGCCCAGCTGCGTGAGTGACAGCTGGCTCTGCCTATCTAGAGGCAGAGCCAGCTTCTGTCCCACTAGGGAGATTTTCTTTCACTTCCTTTCCAATTTTTTTTTTGTTTAAGTCCGCGGTGCGTGCATCAAAATCGACTTCTCCTGTGAAAAAAAAATGATCAATTGTGAAATCACAACAGACATAAAAAAAGTGCACGAGGGTGCTGTGATCCTCCTCTGAAGAGGAAGGGTCTCGAAATTCCTTAACCCCGGGGTGCAAGGCTCCTGACAGGGGCAAGTAGACTCAGGTCAACCTACCCGAAGGCCGGCGGACCCCGATCCTCAGGGTCCTACCTAAGTAGGATCCACAAGTACTAGGTAAGGTGCTGTCCCGAAGAAAGACCCCCCCCCCCCCCCCCTGTGGGGGAGGG